TGTTTCTTGATGCCTATAATTGGAACCTCAGTAGAGATAATGGAACAGTATGTGAGTTAGGAATTTAGCAGCAATGACAATACTGGCAAGAGTCTGTGATCGATAATTATATTTTTCCCAATAGAAACTGAATAATGCATTTAAAGGAGAAGTACTGGGAAAGCAAAATATATTGTTCCCAATATTTAGAGCCAGTGTGCAGCACTGCAACTGTCACAGACTGGCTCTATACCAAGAGCTGAGCAAACAAGCAGCTACTGCTCCTGATCTTCATACTCATTCTGGGTCATTGATAGGGTTGCCACTTGTCCAGGTTTCACCCGGACAATCCGGGTTTTGAATGCTGTGTCCGGGTTTCATGGCAGCAGGAACCCGGACACAAGATGTCAGGCAGACAGGGGCAACCAAACGTAAGATAGGTGCTACTGGCCCCCCAACTGAAAATAGTCCCAACTGTGATTTTTACATATTAATGTGTGGCGCTATTTACATTTAAATAAGCCACGACCCATGCTCACCAAAAAATGTCCGCGCATCACTAGAGTGTTTGGGTTTCGCTTAAAGAAAAGGTGGCAACCCTAGTCATTGATGCAGAAAGTATAGAATCATTTGGATTAGAATAACAACCAGGCAGCTTGTAGATTTAAATGGAGAGTTCAGTAATTAAGGCTTATGTATTTTCACAGTACAGCTTACCTGTACAAGGTGCTTTGGCCAAGACTAAAAAAGAGATAACAGCAGGCTCAGAGTTTATGTAATACCAGTGAGGACAAGCCGACTTCATGCAATTCATTAAAGATCTGCCCGGCTATGTGCAGACTACTGGTTGATGGTTGATTGTTTGTTACATTTCTTGTACTTGCTTGGCCTTTGTTTCTTTTGCAAACATGGGGCCCCATTTGGCAAAGGAGTGAGGAAGACTGAGGGCTGCAGCATCAGTTCCAACAGACAAGTTTATTTTAGCAGTGTCTAGTGAAGCAAATGATTCACCCAATGCTTGTGTGTATTGAGCCATTAAGTACAATGTGCTCTTTCGTGCCTGAATGTCAGAGAATGCTCAGTACCAAAACAAATGTCTCCATATGATGAAATGGAGCACATGGAGTTCGTTTAGAGATGTGCAGAATATAAAGCTTAACAAGCTCAGGATAGGTTTAGGCAAACCTACTTTATTGTTATGCTTGCATGTAGATAGCCATCATGGAGTTTGATTTCAGAAACACATGCTTGTATCAATATATCCGTGAGTGTTGTCCATTATTCTGCACAGAGCGATACTGCATTTCAAAGTTTTAGGTATAAAACAAAATGTAGTTTTATGTAACAACCTGTACGTGTTACTTGCTCATGTGCCGCATGTGTTCTAAGGTATTTCTATCACACGGACACTTGTGTTGGTAGAGGGTAGCCAAAAGGCTGGATGAGATTGCTCTTAATGCATTGTATCATTCGGGATAAAAGAAATGGACTAATCAGCGGTTTATGCTATGAAGCTAAATCCTGGGATGGACTACAATTTTACTCTCAGTTTACTCATTTGTATTGAGATTGTAGTCCATCACAGGAGCGAGCTTGGAGCTGTGGTTACTTTACAACATACACAGGGACCATGGAGAACAAAAGTAGCCACCCTTCAGAAGGAAGGACAGTGTCAGCACCAATTCAGAGATATTTGAGGATCTACAGCTGAGTGATGCACAAATAAGATCCATTTTTATTAATAGGGTACTTGATTGCATTTTTTAAGATTTAACTCCTTAGTTTAGTGTCACTTTAAGCAACATGCAGAATTTGACAGTTCATTTTGCAGTCGTGTCAAGCTGTCAGATCTTGTATTTTTATTCCCAGTCTATCCCGGTCTCACACTGCTCAGAGCGCAGACATCAGGAACAGCTTTCACCCAGTCTGATGGGATGTCATATTAACCACATAGTTATGTTATTTTAATTATTCATTTTTTCCTATGTGGAGCAGTGGGCTGTATTTGCCGGCGTATAAGACGACTCGGCGTATAAGACGACCCCCCACTTTTTGTGTTAAAATATAGGTTTTGGGCTATACTCGTCGTATAAGACGAGTATAGCCCAAAATAATGTTTAAATGCACCCACTAACCTCTATGGCGGTATTCCCGAGTGTGGCTTGGGGTTAATTTTCAGTACTATAAGCGGTAACCCCGAGCCACACTCGGGAGTACAGTATCTTACCTTGTCCACGATCCCCGCAGTGTCCTCCATCTTCCGGGTTCCGTCCTTCAGCTACATACAGCATACCATGCTGAGCCAATCACGGCAGGCTTTGTATTCATTAATACAGGCTTTGTATTAATGAATGCAAAGCCTGCCGTGATTGGCTCAGCGCGGTATACTGTGTGTAGGTGAAGCTACACACAGTATACCCGGCGTATAAGACGGCTCTAAAAGCCCGTCATATACGCCGGCAAATACGGTATATGAATTATCCTGCAGAAATTAGATCATCTGTCTTTGGGTTTCCTTTACTACACCTTTTTTTATGATGTTTCATTGGAATAGAAGCAAGTCATCACAAAGAGAAACCTGCCTTGAGGGTTCATCCTAGAACATAACCGCTTGGATGACTTTATGCACGGTTTCTACTTTTCTCCCCAAAGATCCCTTATTTTGATGTTATTCCCAGCCCTCCCCTCTTCCTCCACCTGTCAAAATAAATAAATAACACGGATTGAAGGGAACATGTCCCTGTTTTCAAGCCATGATCTGACTGTGATCAGTTTAAATAGCTGTTTTTGAGCTGCCAAAAATGCAGTGGAAGCGTTCCAAGCTCTCCAGCTTAGACATATGCTTCCAATTGTGTGCAAATGTTAATTGTTTTCTAAAAACTGTCAGGGAAGAGGAATTGTGGGCACGCTTTTGCACCTGTCTGATACTCCTGCTTGTGCTGTGGTTTGGAGACCAGTTTTATGGTTTTACATATTACCTAATAAAGCAAAAGACCTTCTCTGCAGTTTAAAATGAAGACATTTCTCATAGAGGTTGTAACATGTTGACAGCATGAGATCACAGTGTTGAAAGATCAGGTCATGAGGAGTGCTTCATTCCCCGCTGGAAATGTTGGGGCGTTGGTACTAAAATCAAATTTGTTGCCATAACATCATTGTACTAAATAATTTTTTTCACTATGAAAGAGAGGGCAGGAAAAGTGAGCAATCTAGGACAACATAGCTGACCTGGAAAGTGAGATAATTTGGGGAATTTTTCCAAATCAGCGATTTTGTCCTAGATTGTTCACTTCTCCTGCCTTCTCCAAACTCTTCTCCCTTTTGTGAATACCCTGTAAGTATCAAAGCCCCTGTAAATAAAAAAATAACCCCTTAGTGCCTCCTAGTTTTTAAAAAAAATGGTTTTAACAATTTTAAGAATTAAAAGAAAAAAGTTTTTAAAAAAGTAAAAAAAAAATAAGTTTAAGAAAAATGTTTTAAGAAAATACAGGCTTGAGGAACCTATTAAAAGATAGGAGACAAGCATACCACATTCTAAAATAGTTCCACGCTAAAATTGTATTTCTCTCCATGTATTTTGTGATCTATAAATATACTGAAATCTCAGACATATGATGTACCTTATAAATCAGGACAAATAAAATAATTTATTATAAATTACTTTCTGTTATGTACACATTATTATTGCCAAAACTGTGAAAAATTTGTTTTTTTCTGACATTGTTTTATCTTTTTTATTAAAGAAATAAGCATTTATATATATGCATATATCACATCAATCTTCTGACAGCTGGGCGGAGCCAGCCGTGATCTTACGGCTGGCTCCGGCTACTTGCAGACTGATCAGCGTCCCTGGTTAACAGCTAACCAGGGACACTGATCTCCAAACAGCCTAACTCTCCCTGGCACTCTGGGAGTCTCCCGGCCGCCAAGGAGAGAAACACTGCTTTTTCTTTTTATTCTGACACGGAGCCGTGTCAGAATAGAAAGAAAAAATTTGGCCATAGGAATGCATTGCTAGATTCCCATTGACTATTTCAATTTGCAATAGCCAAAAGAAAACTAGCATTGCACTCGCGGGAACAATAGCTAGTTTGCTATTGGCTATTGCAAATTGAAATAGCCAATAGGAATCTCGCAATACATTACTATGGCCAAAAATTTTATTTAGTTTTTTCTATTCTGACATGGCTCTGTGTCAGAATAAGAAAAAAAAAGAAAAATCAGTGTTTCTCTCCTTGGCGGCCAGGAGCGGGAGACTCCCGAAACGCCCGGGAGAGTTTTTTTTCTTTTTTTGGACGGCAGCAGAACCGCCGGACAATAGAAAACAGCACAATCGTTTTCTATTCCATCCGATGTACGGCTGATTTCAGCCGATATACGGCTGAAATCAGCCGTACCAGCCTGAAGTCACTTCGCTTTAGGTAGGTTCGCCTACGGCAGCTTAGTGAATAGACCCCATAGCAAAATAGCACAAATGGCAAAATCGCTCCTGTCCCCAGGTACAAATTCTTTTTCTGAAGCTGTGTCACTAAGGGTTTAAACATATATGGGTACATTTAAAGCATGGAATACACAACTGCTGCATACTGCCAAATCCTTTTTTGCAATTCAATAAACTTTATTGTTCATAGAGGTTTAAAGCAAACTTGCAAATGCGTATCTTAGCTTCACACCATTCCTTCAGAGCATTTCAGGAATCTCTGCCCACCTTCAGGTTTGTATGCACATATCAACTTCCTGACAGAGCATAAGCTTGTTACCACCCTACATTCCATTATGCAGTGCCTGAGGCATTTACTGAGAGAACTGGATATTGCCACATAAGATGTGTCTATTTCTACTGCCATGTAAAAGTTTTAAAGTGACCACAGGTTTACTAAAAGGTCACATGTACTAAAAGAAATATGCGTATCTTTCCTTCTGAACATGCTCTTTGGTCAGCTATCCCATCAATTCTCTGGCTCCAGTACTTTCTAAGTCAGTGACACAAAACAAGTTTAAAGATCAGGAGTTCTGACTTTGCTGGTTGCATGCTTGTTCTGGAGGCAGTAACTTAGATATATGTCTAGTGCATCCTCAGAAAAGGGTTAGCAATGGCACAGTGCATACATTTGTCACTAAAGATGTACGGGCACCTATTCCCATGGATTGTTTTTATGCTGGGCTACTTTTAAGTATAGAATCCTTTAAAAAAGAGAATTCACAAGGAAGAAGTTGTAACAGGAAATAGCCAGAGATCATCTGGGGTGAACATCATAGCATTTGATAAATCTTGGTCTAATTTATTAAAGTGTCTGAGGGGTGACAGGTTTGAGATAGTCAGCGTTGTCCCATGTCAAGCATCCACATTTTCTCTTGGTTTTTTTTTTCTCCTCTCCTGCAATAGGAAATCCTATTGATTCTTTGGGGGGAACAAATACTGTACGTGAGCAATTGTTTCCACATTCTCAGGTACCAGTAAGGGCAGGTTCAGACAGACAAGCAGCTCTGTCCTATGGATGGAGCTCAACTTTCTGCAGAGTGTATCTGACGTGCTTCATCGATCTCTGTGATAAATGGAGCTGGCTTGCATTCATTGTACTACTTAGGCTGGGTTCACACCTGGGCGTACGGAATATGCGCGTTTGCACCGCGATTTGCGGTAAAAGAAACACGCGTTTACGAGGGCTATCCGGCTGTATCCTAATAGATACACGCGGCAAATACGCCCCAAAGAAGCTCCTGTACTTCTTTGGGCGTAGGGCTTTTTCAGCGCGTTCGTACGCGCTGTAAAATGCCCAGGTGGGAACCATGCCCATAGGCAATTGTTAGTTTTCACATGTTGAGCGTTTTACAGCGCGTAGGAACGCGCTGTAAAACGCCCAGGTGTGAAGCAGGTCTTAGTGTTGTAGCAGACTTGGTTCAGTACAAAGATGCACAGGATTGTGCCCTTTACAGCACTGATATCTACTCTAGTGCTGATCTGTGCTGTGTAGGAATGACAACTCCATTTATTACCAGGAACAGTAGCAGATATTTGATAATAATTCTAAACGTGTAGAATTGGGGTTACCTGTTAGACACAGCTCATAGAGAAGTCAGCCTGGGGAGAAACATACCAGGGTTATGATGTAGTGGTGCACAGTAGCTGTGTTTTGCATCAAAAATGGAAAGTGGCTTGGTAAAAAAAAAAGGGGTGTGGTTCAATGGATTAAAGACACTTCACCATACAAATGTTCCAATTCCCGTACAAAGACTTACTCATGCAGACAACTCTTGTAACATCCAGCATCTCTGAATGTACCAAATCTTCTTCACAGGACAAATGCTACAGACTCCACCTATACCAGTAGCTACATAGAGACGCAATCACTACCATAGTTACACTGCTAGAAACACAGCGACAGATAAAATACATAGTGTGCTTGTTTTATATTCTTACAGATGGAAACTCGAGATCCCAAAGTGTAGAAAATATTACCTAATATAAGAGGTATAAAACATCATTCTTTTCTTATTGATGAAAGTTATGCCATACTTGACATGATGCATGTAATGGTCCCAAGTGTATATATATATATATATAA